ATTCCATGGTTGGTGGTTTCTTTCCTTTATTTGCTCGACTTGGTAAGATTCTAGCCTTGGGATTCTACGGACAGAAATGGGCTCCGCATCGTCGCCGACGAGTTCTCGGATAGTCGGTTAGCGAACCCGCGAACCCAGTAATAAGGGGAACATTAAGAACGGAGCGGCATCGGGTCGGGTTCACTCTGCTTTGAATCCATTTGGAAAAAGAAGGGCTTTGTTGCACTTAAATACGCATTTGTTACTCTCGCTACTATAGTGTACTTGCGTCGCCCGTGGTTATATATATACTAGGATTTATGTGTTAGATCTAGAGGGGGTGATTAGAGTTTTATGCTAATCTAATCTGATTAAATACCAATTAAAACTAATTAACAAGTTATCCTAGCAAGTATGAAATACAACAAGTTATATGAGCTAGGATAAGCAATATGAACAACAAGAAATATCCTAACAAAGAGATATAAGCAATATATGATATATGCAAGGATATGAAACTAACACAAGGGGTAAACAATATGAACTAGATAGTGGATCATATAAATAATGAGCTATGGATAATGGCGACAAGAAATATAAACATAAGATTAAGTGCGCCAAAGTAAACTCAAACACACGATATGATCACGGAGTTCGGACCTTCCGTCCTACGTCTCCGCTCCCCAATCACGGAGTTCGGACCTTCCGTCCTACGTCTCCGCTCCCCTCTCCCGGGGAGAAATCCACTAACACAACTGGGTTTTCAACGTTCACCCGAATAACGTTTACAACCACACTATGTCGGTTTTCAACGATCACCGATCAACGTCCACTCCTCACACTCGGTTTTCTAGTTCACCGAAAACTTCACAACAACACACTATTGTAATCCCACTCTACACCCACTAAGTGTTGAATTAGACGTGTCTCCCTCAAGTGCTCGGTTACAACCTCTCCCTAGGTTCGTCAACCGACGCCACTCCTCTTGGGACGATCCCCGACTCTCGCCACACACTCCTCTCGGTGTACAAGTGTATTACAAAGTGAATCTCACAATAAGCACAAATATAATAAATGATTGTTCTCTAATATGGATGAGAACACAATAAAAGCTCACACTCAATTGTTACAACTCTCACCAACCCAAAATATATTATGAATGCAAATACAATAAGCTCAAGTGGGTGTGTGTAACAATGAGTAAATAAAATCAAATCAACTAAACTCAAATATAAAATCTAGCTTAAGAGCAATGATAATCAAACAAGTGTATAAATGTAAAGCTAGAGTTTGAGTTTAGAAAACTTCTCAATTGATAACAAGAGATGGAGGGAGGATAGTTGGATGTCCAAACACCAATAGATGATCTCCTCAAGCTCTTGTGAAATTGAATTCTCAAACTCAAACACCCAATTGCTTAAAAGCTTCTAAACAAACATTAAACAAACTTATACCCTTGTTTAAAACTCTTTAAACTTGTTTAAAACATTTCTTAAGTTAGATGGAGAGCTGAAGGCAATGGGGTATTTATACCCACTCAAAACTTCAGCAAAAACCCCAGTAAAATGACAACAAAGCCCCCAGAAAAACAGCTCAGAAAATAGCCGTTGGAGTCCAACGGTCATATCGGCGGTCGACCAAAAAAATTCACGGTCGACCGCGATCCAGATCCCAAGCTGAGAAAACGAGCAGAGACTTCTTCGGTCGACAGGTGCGGTCGATCGATGGAAATTTCGAGCTCTCGGTCGACTACGACGGTCAACCGACAAACTCTTTGCTGCCCACTGACGAAGGAACACAGGGGCGGTCGACCGGTGCGTTCGACCGGTGCGGTCGACCGAGGACTGATACATGAAAATGAAGTCTGAAAACTATTTTTCTGATTTTAAAATACTGTTTAAAAATATCAAATAAATTCCAAAAAAATGTAAAACTTTGGGGAATAATTGTAGACATGATAATAAACATGCTACAATGACTGGTTTCCAAAAAAGACTTCCCAAATGAAATCAATTTACAAAATAAGCCAAAGCATGAAAATGTAAACATGTGAATTTTGACATTTTGGCTAAACCATGGTTTGAAACTTTGCACAATGATTTTGTAGACTTAATAAAATATGTATATGATTATTGTTAAGTCCAAAAACTAACAAAACAATATTTTCATAAAATTTCATATTCTATGCAATATATACTAAAACACAATAATAAATATGAAACATGTGATTTCATATTTATAAACATGAAAGCTTAAAAACTATGTATGTATATATATAACTATATATATGCATAGAAACCAAAACTTATATATATATATATATCTATATATATATACGAAGAAACCAATAAATGTGTGTGTATATGATATTGAGCTTAGAGTATCTAACACACATAATATAAAATCTAAACTAGATTACCCAAGCTAATCTTGATCTTCAATAAGCTCTTATAGGTAATCTCGTGGATGAAGCTTTAACTTGGATCTTAAACTTTGAATAGCAAGGCTTCACCGACATTCCGCCAACCTCCATTTGATATCGTCGTTATGGCGCAATCCATCCATCCTCCAACTACGTTGTTTGTCTATAATAAATAAGAAAACACAAATACTAGACAAACAACATTAGTGGTAAATTGTTTGTTAAACATCTTCAAAATAAGAAGGCCAACACTCCTCCTCTCGAAAGCACATGAAAATCTCTTATTTATCTCAAACCGAGCTCTCTCCTTCTAATTATTTTGGCTATATCATGCATATAAATAAGAAAGAATATACTCATAATATTTCTCCCCCTTTGATAACATCAAAAAGGGGACAAAAGAATTAAGAGAGCGAAAGCTTCCCCTATCAATAAGCATAGGTGAGTATAAAAACAAACATAGAATAGGGAATAGCTCCCCCTATCAAAATGCCATATAAATTATATGCAATAAAGATCAAGGCAAAACATGTGAGCAAGCATACATGAATATGCTAAATATCACTCACATACAAAAAGATAACGAGAACCATATATAAATATATCAATATGAAAATAGTGTCTCATTAACAAAAACATAAAGATCAAAAATAGATTTATGAAATCAAAAGAAAAGGAACATGAAAATCATGTAAAAGGTTTTCAAATGAAAACAAATCAACCAATGAAATCATAAATCACAAGTAAATCATATAAGAACATAAAAACAAATCATCATTGATTTTAAAAAATCAAGAGAGACAACCATATCTAGCTCTTGAGCTAATAATAACCCATATAAACATTTTTAGCACCCGGTAAACAATGTTTGGGAATAAACACCCAATAACTCCGGAGGGTTATATAAACATAGTCCTCTCATCAAGATCGAAACAAATAATCATGAAAACAAAAGATTTGATCAATTTAAAAAGTGTTTTCATAAAAAGTTTCAAAGCATAATTTTCAAAACCAAGACAAAGAAAAATAAAAGTACTAAAATTCTTGGTTTAAAATCAAATTTGTTTTGGTACCCAAGTAATGTTGGTACCAAAAGGTTTAGGGACATGACCCCTATCATTTAAGCTCAAAACCTTAGGGTTATGAACCCTCTTAGGTATATGTGGTGCACTAACATGGTCAAAACAATATTCATTCAAATGACCCTTCCGATTGCAATTTGTGCAATGAAAGAGATCCATTTGTTCTATAATCCATTAAAGTCCTCGTGTTGGACTATAATCCATATCAGTCCTCATGTTGGACATTTGCCATTTATTTCATGAGTTTGGAAACTACAGTATATAGTTCCTGTATCGGACATAGTTCTTAACCCTGCATATGATTTTCTCACAGAAGTTCATGACATGACACTTATGTAGATTTTGACATGACATTCATGTAAGCTATAACATGATATTCATGTAGATTTTGACATGACATTCATGTAAGCTATAACATGATATTCATGTAGGCTATGATATGGCACTGTACTTATGTTCTGAGATTTGTTGTATTCCTTTTATTATTGTTCCTGTACTAGAACCTCGGGTTTGGTGGTTAGGGGTTTACAATTTAAGATATAAGGTATATACATGAGGGTTTCCTTGTTTGGATTATTTCGCTCGACGTACCTATTCTCGTGTTGTAAATTTCTAAATACTAAAACCCTCTTTAGTAAGATCAATGATTTTATATCTATTACGTATTATCTGTATTTTCTTATACAACGAGCCCTATTCCCTTGGGGTTGGTTGTGATGTTACTCGCTAGCGCTTTGACGCTCGTTGTCCCTCCCCTTTCATGTAACAAGCCAGGAGCCCGGAGAGTCGCAGATTAATGGCGATGCATTTTAGCTTCAGCTGTCTAGTTAGTTATATGTTTTATTTGGGGCTCCACTTTAGATTTTCTTTTGTGTAGACATTTGAGAGTCTTGTTCTAGAAGTTGTAAAGGCTGTGTGCCTTATTTCCTTTTCGTCAGATATTTGTATTTGAGACTTGTTGAGTATTCCAGTTTATCTACTCAGACCTTATTTATGTATCTCTGTATGTTGGATGATGAGATATTTATGTGATTATTATCATTTCATCAGTATTTCTTGTATTGTCTTTTACTTGCTTTTGTACCTACACCTGTTGTTGACTCTACTAGATAGATATTAATTATGATGGTGAAACATGTTATTACACGGTGTGGTGCATGGCAGGTTTGACATTCTTGGTTTCACCTTGGACTGCAGCCTTGTGTGAACCCAGGGGCGTCACAGTTGGTATCAGAGCTCTAGTTCCATTATCCTTAGGATCATCTTGTGTCGAGTTGTGGAGCTAGGATAGAGTTTCTTAGGATTCATGTATAGAGTCCATAAGGAGTTCCTAGTACGAGTGAGGACGATATATGCGTATATCTCAAAATTTGAGAATTTTTTTATGACAACTATTTTGTATAAATTTAAAGTATTTGTGTAAATACTATATGTTGTGAAAATTGTATTGTGATACGTTATTTATGAAGGTCTATTTTAACTCATAAACTCTTATTTTCT